AAACCTCTCATATGCTAACTTTTTCTCTCTTACTACTCTCTTTACATCATCATTCCACCAATTGCTCTTCTTCCCTCCCACACCCATTGTCCTGTAATAACAAACTTCTGCTGAACACTCTAACACTACATTTTTAAACTTACCCCATACATCTTCTATGCCATTGCCTATAATCTCACTAGTCCATATATCCTCCAATAGTTGTTTATATCTTACCCTAAGTGCCTCCTCCTTTAGTTTATAAACCTTCACCTCTCTCTTACTTGCTTGCTGCTTCCATTTTCCTTGTATCCCATCTACCTTTCACTCTCACTGTAGCTACAACTAAAAAGTGATCTGATACATCTGTGGTGCCTCTATAAACATGTACATCCTGAAGTCTACCCAACAGTCTTTTATCTTCCAATACTGTCATTACACTCTATATATCATATTTTGTATACTTATTTATCCTCTTTTTCTTAAATATGAATTACCTATAACCATACCCCTTTCTAAACAAAGTTCAATCAGGGGCTCCCCATTATCAGACACGTGGCACCCCAAACTTACCTACCACACCCTCTCTAAACGTTTCTCCTACTTGAGCATTTAGGTCCCCTACCACAATTACTCTCTCACTTGGTTCAAAGGTTCCTACACACTCACTAAACATCTCCCAAAATCTCTCTCTCTCCTCTACACTCCTCTCTTCTCCAGGTGCATACACACTTATTATGACCAACTTTTTGCATCCAACCCTTACTTTAATCCACATTATCCTTGAATTTATACATTTATATTCCCTCTTCTCTTTCCATAACCGATCCTTCGGCATTATTGCTACCAATCCTTAGCTCTAACTCTCTCAGATACTCCTGACTTAATCCCTTTATTCCTCACCATTCAAACTCACCTAGCCCCTTCAGCTTTGTTTTGCTTAAAGCTAGGACATCCAGCTTCTTTTCATTCATAACATTAGCAATCATTTCTTTCTTATCATCTGCACTACATCTACATACATTCAAACATCCCAGGTTTATAAAGTTTTGCTTTTTCTCGTTTTTAGTAGTTTATATAGGAGAAGGGGTTACTAGCCTCTTGCTCCTGGCAAGTTAATGAGGAGAATTAAATCAGATGAAGATTAGGTAGGACTACAAAAAGACCTGGACAGGCTAGAAGCCTGGTCCAGCAACTGGCTACTCAAATTTAACTCCGCCAAATGCAAATTTATGAAGATCGGGGAAGAGCAAAGAAGACCGCAGAGTACAGGCTAGGTGGCCAAAGACTGCAAACCTCACTCAAGGCAAAGGATCTTGGGGTGAGTATAACACCGAGCACATCTGAGGCACACATCAACCAGATAACTGCTGCTGCATGTGGGCACCTGGCAAACCTGAGAATAGTGGTCCAATACCTCAGTAAGGAATTGTTCAAGACTCTGTACACCAAGTACATCAGGCCCATACTGGAGTATGCAGCACCAGTTTGAAACCTACACCTGGTCAAGCACGTCAAGAAATTAGAGAAAGTGCAAAGGTTTGCAACAAGACTAGTTCCAGAACTAAGGAAAATGTCCTATGAAGAAAGGTTGAAGGAAATTGGCCTGACAACACTAAAGGACAGGAGGGTTAGGGGAGACATGATTACAACATACAAAATACTGTGAGGAACTGACAAGGTGGTCAGAGACAGGATGTTCCAGAGATGGGACACAGAAACAAGGGGTCATAATTGGAAGCTGAAGACTCAGATGAGTCAAATGGATGTTAAGAAGCATTTTAGTCATAGAGTTGTCAGGAAGTGGAATAGTCTGGCTAGTGATGTAGTGGAGGCAGGAACCATACATAGCTTTAAGATAAGGTTTGATAAATAACAAAAAAAGGCACAATACCATGACTGGAACGATACACAAATAACCCGCACATAAAAGAGAGAAGCTTACGACGACGTTTCAGTCCGACTTGGACCATTTACTAAGTCACACAGTGTGACTTTGTAAATGGTCCAAGTTGGACCGAAACGTCGTCGTAAGCTTCTCTCTTTTATGTGCGGGTTATTTGTGTAAGGTTTGATAAAGCTCATGGAGCAGGGAGAGAGAGAGGACCTAGTAGCTATCAGTGAAGAGGTGGGGCCAGGAGCTATGACTCGACCCCTGCAACCACAAATAGGCGAATACAAATAGGTGAGTGCACACACACACACACACACACACACACACACACACACGACTCCTGCAACCACAATTAGGCAAGTACAATAGATGAGTACACACACACACACACACATACACATTCATTTTGGCAAATGAAATTATTATACTGTATTATCAATGATCAGCTTCAGCTACCTGTAATGGCAGATAAAATAAATTAAAAGGAAAAAACTACATAATGTATATACAGAAAATTATTATAAGAGTACCAATTCTAAGCAGTGAATGCTATCTGTAATGAGACAAGTTTATAAAAAAAATTATGTTGAATGGTAATGCTCAGATATTTGATTTTCTCTGATTTACCTTTCCAATTAAATATAATATTGAATCTGAACAAAGTTGTTCTAAAGTATTGAGTTTCAATTCATTAAAGAGTATTGTGTAGAGTCCAGTCTGTAGCAACCTGAAAAAACAGTCTTAACTGGTCAGCATTACTTTATGAGTCAGAAAAATTGGTCATTAGTGTCCATATATGTTACATTAGTCTACACACATATCCACTAGGTCTCTACACACTAGGAACTCACATTACCTTACAATTGCTGGTGATCTGGGTCTAAGTGTGCCCTGATTATATTCTAGGTTGTTGTGTCCATTGCGATGTTGCTGAGGCTTGTTGCACTCACTTGTGTCTGTCTGTCTACTTCAACATTGTCTCGAGTCTTGTGATGGCTTGTAGTTCCATCATGCACTGAACACATAGCTACAACTTGCTATGTCAGAAAAGCAACACTTATAAGGCTATACATACATACAGAACAGCACAAAACCTTGCTAATGCAAGCAAAGACATGCTTCCATATATCTAAGATCACTGAATATTTATTATTGTGATACAGGTCGGCCGTCACTAATCTGGCAATCAGTCATCCAGTTCCATCAGTAATCCGGCACTAACTTCGGCTAGCATAATTTCAAATTTCATCATTATACTGACACGAATTTCATCATTATACTGACTCAGAAATTTTGCAGATGGTTGTAAATCCACAACAGCAAGCCAGTGGAGGAGAAAGCAGAGATGAAAATGAGAAAGATGTAGCAGAATGTGTCTCTACTGATAGGTTAATTAAGTGTATCCTAACCTAACCGCACTGTAATCCGGCAAACTCACTAATCCGGCACACTACAAGTCCCAATTATGCTGGATTAGTGATGGCCGACCTGTACTGTCATTATTTCTCAAAACATTGTGTTAAAACAAATATACAAAAATATTCTGTGACCTTACCAAGTATGGGATGCTCAAGTCTATATGTGCCTTTGACAAAGCTTTTCTTTTAAGAATACATATACTTAACATTATGAATACAAAAAAAATGCACAACTTACATTTTAAGCAATACATACTGCACTTCTGTTTATTGTAATTCTAATACAGTACTATAATTTAACTTTTAAGTTAAATGCTTATTCAACAAATTGAAGAATGCATGGTTCTAATAACCCTAGACATGCAGTATGGCATTTTTGTTGAAGATATATCAACATTTAAAATCTTTCATAAAAACAATACTGACACCCATGCAAGACAGATCCAATCCTAATCCACATCATATTGTCTTAATTATAAATGACTTTATATTTTGTTAAGATAATGAAGAAAAATGTCACTACATGCACTTACATTTTATGCATTATCATCATAAAAAGTAATACAGTATGTATTGTACAAAGTCATCATTTTATAAAGGGGACAGTGATCATTTCTATGATACAGAAATGAAATAAGGGATGAGAAAGAATATAAAAAATAGATAATTATCACTGGATTACTGGGGTCACAAATAACACGTACCAAATACAATACGGTAAAACCTTGATAAAACAGACACTTACACAACAGTTTTTGGATACAATGGACAAGATACTTGGTAAGGCAAAGGATTGAAGCAACAGACTGACTCTGCTGCACTGAACTTTTGTCCATATGCTGAAGTATGTGTGCCTGGTAAGCTTTCCCTACAAAGGACCAAATCTGCTTCATCAAGCATTTCAGTACAAAGGATTTTTTTTTTTTTAAACCAACACCCCCTCTCCTCCTATCAGTCTGTTACACTGAGGTTTGACTTTAGCTAATGAAAATAAAGAACAAAAGTGATGTACCATGGATGCATGGAAGAGCTGGACCCAGATCTGATTTCCAGGCAAATGAAATCTGTGGATAGCTCACTTTACACCTGTTGGCCATATGGTCACCATATGGTCTAGGTGTTAATTGGCTACTGTGGGGGTTACATCCCAAGGGAACCCTTATGAGGCTTTGCTGGGTTATTCTGAGTTACTAACCTTCCGTACTTAAATACATAATCCTTACTAAATTGTCTTCTAATGAATAATCTGTTCAAAAACGCTGGTTATCCAGTAGAATTGAATCTTAAAAAATTGAAGGCTTTCCATTAATTTATGCAAAGGCATTATCCAGTATTGTAGCTACCTGACAATGTTAAATGATAAAAGTGAAACATACATTATAGTTTGTAGAAGAAATCAATCAAAGGTCTGCTCTCTTTACTGTTCAACACATGTGGATTAAGTTTTGGTGTCTTGGCTCAAGCTTACTGTAATTTTAATCCAAATTACAAATCTCAATATAATATCTTGTATAGAATAATTTTAAAAGTAGCACTGGTTTTTATTATTATTATGAGACATAAACATGCCTCAAGCAACTCCAGGCATGTTGCAGCACTACAGGGCCTAAGGGTTAGTGCACCAGTTAAAAGCTATAGCAATCCAAGCTTAAGTGCAATAATACTGATTGAGAATGAAAATAATCCTCAAAATAAGTTTAATTACTAACCTCTACGCCCAACACCATTGATAAACCAGCCATCTTCCTGTCTTAGTGGTTCATAACGTGAGGTCATAACCACAAGGTGTTGCATATCGCGCCAGGTCAGGTCTGGATTAGCTTCAAGAGCCAGAGCACACAGGCCTGCTGCTAATGGTGCTGAGGCACTTGTACCTGGTTGAAGTAATCAAATGAATTTAATTTTTTATTACAGCATTTTTAAAAAATATTCCTTTACTTCAAAAATGGAGGATGTAATAAAAATTCACTCTAATGTTTTAAGATGTGTTTCAGTTAAAAAATTAAAAAGTTTTTTTACTCAGAAGAGGTAATGTAGTGGTATGTTAAGAGTCTAAAAGCAATTACATAAAATATTGTAAATGATAGTAATAAACTCTTTTCTTAAAGTCATATTTTATATACAGTTAGTTTTCCTTATGTATAAGTAATGACTGAAAAGTTCCTAGGGTAAAATATGAATAAAATACCTCATGAAAATATCTTGAATATAACAGTATTGCTTGGAATGAGATTTATTAAAATAGTCTATGCCCTACCATCTCAAACAAAATGTTGTCTACAATAAAGACTTATCCTTGTGTGATACAATAAATCCCTTTTGAATCTTTGTGTGCATATTTTATGTCCATTAAAATATGCACACTGTATATTGCACAAATATTATAGATTGCAAAAGTGAAAGGACCCCAATGGAAATAAGTCACTCTGTCTGACTTTTTTGGGTTATCCTAGGTTCTCTACACATATGCTGCTATGTATGATAATCTATGTAACTGTGTTTGTGTATACCTGAATAAACTTACTTACTTACTTACTATTATCTAAATGCTTGCCAGATGTTTAGAAAGGTAAAGACAAAAAATTTATGTGACACAACACATTTCACAATGAACGTTTGGAGCACAAAAATGTTTTTCTAATTTTAGCCAATCCATCATACAAAATTGCTGACTAACTTTATCGAAGCTCCCGATCAAGAAATGTGCCACACACCAAAGGAATAGCTACTCTCTACTGCCTACTACAAGCACTGGAAAGCAAAATGCCAGAGCTTTTGAGAGGCTGAGTACTGAGCCACCAGGTATAAAGTAAAACAAAAAAAAAGGCCAAATATGATGATCCTGAAAAAAGTGTTCAATAAAGATTTGTTTCGGTAAATGTGTAACACCATTTGTTATCAGTTCGGCTGTCATTCACAATGTTAATATGAGTTTTACCATTGCAATCCTTACTTTCAATGAATACTCTATCTACTCTGCAACAACACTTAACCCTCAAACTGTCCAAACATAGAGCTACGTTCACGTGCATAGCGCTCCGATTGTATATCTACAGCTTATTTTACATGCTTTCAACCTTGGCACAATAAGCCTGAGTTGCCTAGACACGAGCGAATGAGTCTGTGCACTCAGTGTGCGCAGTATGACAAAATTCGGGAATGCAGGGAAAATGTACTCTTCATTTTAAACAGCAACAAAAAAAAAATTTTTTTTCCCAAATTATTCAAGAGTGGTACGCATGTGAACGTTGATCTATGTTTGGACAGTTTAAGGGTTAAAGGTCTTCATACATTTAGTGTTTCAGTGAAACCTGTATAATTACTGTCATTAAATAATGGTTTGCTTCCTTACTTATTTACTATTTCACATGTAGTAAATTAGTAACTTAAATTATTAACACTCGTAATAAATTGTTCATATTAATTATCAAGGAAAGATCACATTTTCCTTATTTTTGCAAAAGCAAAAATCGTAAGTAAGAACATTCTGAGTACTAATGCTAGGTAACATGTGAAACAAGAATAAACACTTATTATGACCATGGAGGGTTTAAATGTTTTATAAGGAAAATAAAGCGCTGTACTGCTTTACAGGCTGTATACAGATAATATTTTAGCCCAGTATCAATATTTATACAATATGTACAGAATTATTTATGGCGAAATACTGGCATATGGCATAAACCCATTTTATCAGCAATAATTATACACACCGGCCATCTCCTACCAGGGCAGGCTGACCCCCCCCCCCCCAAATAAGAAGCAAAAGTTTTTCTTCTTTTTACACTTAATAATTTTCACAGGAGAAGGGGTTACTAGCCTCTTGCTCCCGGCATTTTATTCATCTCTGACAACACACATGGTTTACGGAAGAAGGATTCTTCTCAGCTTCCTCATGGAATAACACATGTGCATGTGTGCAAATGTATTTGTGTGTTTATTAATTTTTAACACACTGGCCATCTCCCACCAAGATAGGGTGATCTGAAAAAGAAACTTTTACCATCATTTACTCTATCACTGCCTTGCCAGAAGCATACAGATAATACAGTTCAGATGCCCCTCCAAACTGCAAATATCCCTACTACTCCTTCAGAATACAGGCATTGTACTTCCCTCCAACCTTTCCTAGGGTGACCCCTACCTCCCCTTGCCTCCATTACAGATTATACACCATCCAAGTCATCCTATTTTGCTTCATTCCCTCTAAATATCCAAATCACTTTAACAACCCCTCCTCAGCCCCTGGAATAAATTTTAAGTAACTCCTCACCTCCTCCTAATCTCCAAGCTATGAATTCTCTGCATAATATTTACTGTACACATTGCCCTTCACACATGACATCTCCACTGCCTCCAACTACCTCCTTGCTGCAACATTCACAACCTATGTTTCACACCCACACAGGAGTGCTGGATAACGATTTTTGTCTCCACAAATGCCTTAATGTACCATCCACCTTTTTTTTTTCCCTCATCAGTTTTATGGTTCACCTCATTTTTTCACAGACCTGTCTGCTGACAAGTCCACTCCCAAATATATGAACATATTCACTTCCTTCATACTTCCTCCCACCAATCTGATAGCCAATCTTTCATGTACTGATGATATTGTAGCTTCTTGCTTTTGATAGCTTTTATTTTGCTCCATCAATCTTGTTAATGAAGGGAGATTGTTTTGATTCATCCTGTGCCAGTGTAGAATGCCTACCTTCTGCACACTTGGTGGGGGTTGGATATACAGTGGACCCTCGACCAATGGCTTTAATCTGTTCCAGAGAGCTAGCCTTTAGTTGAATTAGCCATTAGTCAAATTAATTTTCCCCATAAGAAATAATGGAAATAGAATTAATCCGTTCCAGACACCCAAAAGTATTAAACAAAATAATTTTTTTTACATGAAATACACATTTCCCTACACAGAAACAAATGGTACATGCAAAATAAACAATAATTAAATGCCACTTACCTTTATTGTGGAGTTGTTGATGAGTGATGTGCCAGAAGCAGGGGAGATTCAGGTTTTCTATTGTTTGGAAGGGGAATCCCCTTCCATAAAGACTTCAGGTACCAAGTCCTTTGGTGGGGTTACCTCCCTTCTTGGTTTTTTAATGCCACTAGGACCAGCTTGAGAGTCACTGGACCCCTGTTGCACAAAATATCTGTCCAGAAAGCTCTGTTTCTCATGTGCTCTTAGGATTTCCCTAAAATGGGACACAAGAGTGTCATTGTACATGTTGCCAATACGGCTTGCAACAGATGTGACAGGATAAAATTCATTCATAAATGCTTGCACCTTTGTAAACATTGTACACATTTCCTTAATCCTTGACGAAGGCAACTTCCTCCGTCTCTCTTCCTCCTGCTCTGAAGCACATTCCTGAGCTGTGATCTGTTGCTGTTGCACCTCAAGCTCTTGCAGCTCTGCATTGGTTAGTTCTTCATTGTCGTTCTGTACCAACTCTTCCACATCCTCGCCACAAACCTCCAACCCCATGGACTTCCCCAATGACACAACAGATTCCACAACTGGCATAGACTCCTGAGGGTTAACCCCAAACCCTTCAAAATCCCTCTCTTGTACACATTGTGGCCATAGTTTCCTCCAAGCAGAGTTCAATGTCCTGCAAGTCACTCTCTCCCAAGCCTTACCTATAAGGTTTATGCAACTAAGGATATTGAAGTGATCTTTCCAAAACTCTCTTAGGGTCAACCGAGTGTCTGAGGTCACTTCAAAGCACTTCTGAAACAGTGCTTTTGTTCAGAGTTTTTTGAAGTTTGAAATGACCTGCTGGTCCATGGGCTGGAGGAGAGGAGTTGCATTAGGAGGCAAAAACTTCACTTTAACGAAGCTAAACTCCCCTGCAATTTGCTCTTGCAAGTCGTGAGGATGAGCAGGAGCAATGTCCATTACCAGGAGGCACTTCAGTGACAATTTCTTTTCCAGGAGGTAATTTTTCACAGTGGGGAAAACACACCATAAAACCAGTCCATGTAAATTTCCCTAGTGACTCATGCCTTAGTGTTTGATCTCCACAGCACACACAAATTGCCCTTGATGATATTGTTTTTCTTGAACACTCTGGGAGTTTCAGAGTGATACACTAATAAAGGCTTCACTTTGCAATCACTACTAGCATTACTACACAACATTAATGTCAGCCTATCTTTCATAGGCATATGTCCTGGGAGTGCCTTTTCCTCCTGAATAATGTAGGTCCTGTTTGGCATTTTCTTCCAAAACAGGCCTGTTTTGTCACAATTAAACACTTGTTCAGGTTTAAAGTTTTCAATGTCCTGCACATATTTTTTCAGCCGCTTTTTTGTCTGAACTGGCAGCCTCACCAAGACTTACCACACTGTGTATGCCACTACGATTCTTAAATCTCTCAAACCAGCCTTTGCTGGCCTTAAATTCATCAATATCATCACTATTTTGAGGCATTTTCTTAATGAGATCATCGTGCAACTGCCTTGCCTTTGCACATATTATTGACTGAGACACACTATCTCCTAATAATTGCTTTTCGTTTATCCACACCAACAACAGTCTCTCCACCTCTTCAATTATTTGCAATCTCCATTTTGAAAACATACTTGCACCTTTTGCAACAACAGTTTCCTTGATTGCCTTTCTGTTCGCCAAGATGATAGTGATGGTTGAATGGGGTTGGTTATACAGCCTTTCCAACTCAGACATACGCACTCCACTTTCATATTTTTAAATGATCTCTTTCCTCATTTCCATAGTAATTCTCACCCTTTTTACCACAGGCTTGGCACTAGAAGCTTTCTTGGGACCCATGGTGGCTTATTTAGCAGTTACAAGCACTAAAAACACTGAATACAAAATATATTGCAGGTACACGTGGAA